GTATCATATTTAAAAAGTCCTTGGTAGTGGCAGGAAGTGAGCTAGACTAAGGTCACCATGGAACCAGCTGGTGACTCTGCAGGATGAAGCACAAGAATAAGAAGCTGTGCACAAGGCCAAGTGGAGTGTATAGCCAGTGCACAAGGACTCGCTGGACTGGACACAGTACAACTTCTAGCAGAGCCTCTCGCTGAGCCTGGCAGCATGGTAGACAACCTGAAAACAGCAAATGCTTTACAGCTACCTGTGGAAGAATTTGTGGAGTGACATAAAAGGCCAAACCAGCCCGTGGTTTTGCTGAATGCCTGAAGGTCTGCAAAGGAGAACTAGACTTCAGAGCACCTAAAAAGGAAATACAGGAACCAGAAGTTCAAGTGTGGTGAGAATGACAATGGATGCTCAGTGATGATGAAGATGAAATATTACATGGTGTACGTGGAGAGTATCGAGATGACAGTCCCCTTTGTGTCCTTGAAAGCACCTATGAGGAGCACCCCCAAAGAACAAAACTCTTGGAAGACCACAAGGTGCCCACATTTTGCTCTGATGACCTTTTCTAATATGCAGGGAAAAAGCACAGGTCCCTGACAGGCGCTTTGTAATGGTTCCACCGCACTCTGGAACTGGGATTCACACCAACTCTCTGGGAAGCAGTACCTGGAACACCTTAGTTCAGGGCCCCAAGCTTATTCCCAAGAAGCACTTCCAGGCAGCTCATCTTCTAACATGGGAAGAAGGATGGAACCAGCAGATGAAGCTATTACCTGGTTTAATGTGATTTATCCCTGGACACAGCCTCCAACCTGGCCACCTGAATTCAACCCCCTGGAAATCCTCCAAAAACCAGGAGAGACTGTCATTGTACTAGGACATGCTGTGGCATGTTGTCCATGACTGTCTTGACACTGCTATTGCTGCTACCCAGAACTTTGCCAACAGCACCAACTTCCCTGTTGTATGGCACAAGACAGTAAGAGGGAGACCTAAGTTATTAAGGAAAGGATGTTCAAGGTCTTCAAGCAAGAGCACCCTGAGTTGGTAGTCCTGGCCAACTTGGTTGACCTTCAGGAGTCCACGGGGATAGCTCTAGTGACTCCTCCAGCTCCTCCAGGTCCAGTGTGTCAGGCTCAGACTCAGAGTATAAGTCTGAGTGATGGGACAATGCATCAAAGGAAGAAAAGAGGGGGATGGGCAGCATGGTGGACAGCAGGGACACCATCACCTCCCAGGATACCTTTGTGGGCAAAGAGCACAGCTGCTCTAGGTGACCCAACACAGCTGCTGTCTCTGCAGAAGGACATGCTCACAGCCAGGGACAGGGCCCTGGGCGGGCAGGCTGTCAACTTTTGTAGACAAGGGGATGGCTGACAAGAGCCATCTCCTTGTCTGCAAGAGCCAGAGAATGAAGTCAACCTGGAAACCCCAATCCATTCACTTAGCATTTGCTCCCATAGTTTTCTCTGCTACGGATGCAGGTAAACTTGCCTTGTTTTGTGCATAAAGGCAAGAGTCCATGAATGGTGCCATTCACATGCTCTTATTACATTATTTAATAAAAATTAAATTCACTAAATAAATAAATAAAGGTTAAAGTTGTCAGTATATGTAAATCGATCCAGGTTTTCACCGATGTTATCTTCTAGGAGTTTTATCATTTTGTGTTTACATTTAGAGTCACGATTCATTTTGAGTTAGTTTTTGTGGAGAGTGTAATATGTGTGTCTAGATTCATTTTTTCTTTTTTTTGCATGGGGAAGCCCAGTCGTTCCAGCACCATCTGTTGGAAAGGCCATCTTCACCCAATTGTATTGCCTTTGCTTCTTTGTCCAAGATCAGTTGACTGTATGTTTGCGGGTCTAATTCTGGGCTCCCCATTTTGTTCCTTGGTCTATTTGTTTATTCTTTTGCAAATACCAAGCTGTCTTGGTAACCATAGCTTCAAGTAGGATGATGGTTGTACGGTGACTTTGTTGTTCTCCTTCGATATTGTGTTACCGAGTCTGGGTCTCTTGCATCTCCATACGGACTTTAGAAACACTTCGGTGATATCCACACAACAACTTGCTGGGATTTTAATTGGAAAAAATTTATAGAAATGTACACTACAGAGTGAATCTTAATGTTTGAAACTTTTAAGAAATAATGTATGAGGCTTAGATATCCTGGAAGGACCCTACAATGTGACAAAAGGATGTAATAATATTCAAAGTGTATTACACCACCTCATTGACGGGGACATGTAGAAGAAAAGGCTGACCTAAGTCCCTGGAGAAGTAAGTGGAATCTATAAGAGCCAACGCAAAAGGAATTGTAAGAACTACATGTGAGAACTGAACTTCAGCTGGTGAGATTGTTTCCTGAGTGGTATGGCTAACAAGGCTTAAACCAACATGTACATGCACAAATCTGTTCTGCAGAGAAGCAGAAACTATAGGAAATACATTTATATCTATATAGCTATATGTACATGTAGGTATGGCAAGGGAGAGGAAAAAGAACAGAGATGCTGATTGATTATAAATTATTGAGTGATGTGATTTGGGGGGCTGACAAGTCTCAAGAGGGCAAGCTAGAGCCCAAGGAGAGCCAGAGTGGTAGTTCCAGACTCAGTCCCAAGGCCTGAGAATCCGAAGATTCAGCAGGGTAGTCTAGTGCAGACCATGGCAGGCTTGAGACCTAGAAGCTGATCTTTTAGTTTAAGTCAAAAAGGCAGGGAAAGAAATGATGTTGAGCCCACCTTGAAGACAGTCAGACAGGGAAAGAAATAATGTTGAGCCCACCTTGAAGACAGTCAGACAGAGGCTCACCCACTTGTCCAGCCCCTTTATTACATTCAGTCCATCAAGTGATTGAAAGGCCCCACCCACATTAGGAAGGACAATCTGTTTTACTCTGTGAGAACAATTCACATTTTAATCTCATCCAGAAATACCCTGACAGACATATCCAGGATAATGTTTGAGGAAATATCTAAGCACCTCTAGGCCCCATCAGGTTGATAGCTCCTATTGCATAATATTGGCAGCATTTTCTTGGCGAGGCAAAGAAAGTACAAAATCTATGACTTGTGAGTCACTGTCTGCAGTGATCTTTGCTGGCTTAATTGAATCGATGTTTAACAGAATTAGTCACACAGCGCTGTATCGCAATGAGAATTCCTGTTAGCCTGTGTATGGCCCTGGCTCTTACTCTCAGAATGTCTGCAAAAGGCAGGTGGAGAAGATGCTCCTCTTACTGAAAGATGACCACGAGTCAGAAAGGAACTGTTCTGTGATGCACAAAAGATCTATGCATTAAAATGTGAAGGGCATAGGAGAAAACCAAGAAACTTAAAGGACACTTAACAGTGAAAGGGACGATAAAACATTAGCCAGTAAGTTCAGTGAAATGATTGCCACTGTAAAATAAGGGACTGAAGGGACTGTATACTGTGACAATAAAAGATAAAACATCTTGCAGAAATAGAGAAAAAGTCAAGGCCAAATAGAAATGAAGGACAAAGTGGAAATGACACAAAGAGGAAAGACATTGCTGAATGTAAAATAATTTACTTACATGAAAAGATGGAGAAAAACAGTTACTATAAAGGGATCATAAAGTCTTAAAAGAGAGTATGTAGATATGGGAGGCAAAGGAGACACAATAGAAGCTTAATTGGGAAAGTATATGTGTGTATACCCTCTGTAATAAAATCTTAAAATATTTCATATATGTATGCAAATTTTATGTATAAAGCACAGTATTATACTTCAGACACATTGTAACTATGGAGGTTCACTCTCTATATAAAATACCCGCCCCCCACACACATACCTCACATATTCCCCAGAAAAACCATAGAGACATCTCCAAGTAAAGTTTCTAGAAGAATACACAAGGAAATAACAGACTGCTTGCATTCATTTGCAAAAATGGGGTGGCTGGAGAATGGTCCTCCTTGTATGCCTCTCCTTCAATTTTCATTACATACTTATGTTGTAAAGATATAATTGCATGTGTAAGTAACGTTCTCCAATATATACATAGGAATTATCCTACATCCACATCAGGAAAGTTTAAATATATACTGGAATCCTGCTGATAGTCAAGTTTTAACTACCTCATTCTTGAAGTAACAAAGAAGGCATAGCATATGAAATGAAACACTCTGATTAAGCCATTAGGAAATCGCAAAACATTACCAAGGACAGTTACTGCAAATAAATAAATAATACACGTAAGAATATTGGAAAATTGAATAGATGCTTAATTAACAAATACATCAATATATAAGATAAAAAGAAACATTTTGGTTATATTTTTAAGGGGCCTGCTATTCAACATAAATGTTGAATTACTATGTTGAAGAAATAATAAACTTTCTTATCTGCTTCCAAATATATAATTTATAGTTAATGAGTAATTGGGTGGAAGCGTAAAAGAAATACAGATATAGGGGTCCACGGGATGGTGTTCTATTTTTCTGTTTTTAGGGAAAAAAGTAATGTTTCACCTTTGAAGTCAGTGGGGAAATCATGATTTTTCTGTTAACTTCAAGAGATTTCAAAGCTTCAATATCTCCACTGGTAGAGAGGAATCCATCAGGACATTTTGAACACAGGACAATCTGCAGGACCTTTGTGTGGGACGGTGACTAAGCCCTAACTTCACAAAGAATAGTCTTATTGTGCAGAGATCAAGCCAAAGCTGGAGGCGAGAGCATTTTCCCTGACTAAAGGAAACAAAAAATGCAACCTCGATATTTCATAACTTAGCCAGTAACCCAGGTGTGATCTCACTGTGTGTGTAAAGCCCAGCCCCTCCCAATCTGCAAGCTCACCTTCCAGCACCGGGCCCAGCCCTTGCTCACCGGGTATATATACACTGCTGCCCCGAGCCGGGCTCACTCACCTGCTCCTCTCACCCCAGCCTCCAGCCTCTCACGCTCTCTTCAGCCTTTCTGTCTTCTGCAACCATGACCAGCAAATCCACCGTGAAGAGCTACAGCAGCAGCCACCGTGGCTTCAGCTCAGGCTCAGCCAGGGTCCCCGGGGTCTCGCGCTGTGGCTTCAGCAGCGTCTCTGTGTCCCGCTCCCGGGGCAGTGGCGGCCTGGGTGGAGTGTGCGGAGGAGCTGGCTTCGGCAGCCGCAGCCTCTACAACCTGGGGGGCTCCAAGAGGATCTCCATCGGAGGGGGCAGCTGTGCCGTCGGAGGTGGCTATGGCAGCAGAGTCGGAGGCGGCTATGGCTTTGGAGGTGGAGCCGGGAGCGGATTCGGTTTCGGCGGTGGAGCTGGCGCTGGCTTTGGGCTCGGTGGTGGAGCTGGCTTTGGTGGTGGCTATGGGGGTTCTGGCTTCCCCGTGTGCCCCCCCGGAGGCATCCAAGAAGTCACGGTCAACCAGAGTCTCCTCACCCCTCTGAACCTGCAAATCGACCCCTCCATCCAGCGGGTCAGGACCGAGGAGCGTGAGCAGATCAAGACCCTCAACAACAAGTTCGCCTCCTTCATCGACAAGGTGAGACCTTGATAGGAAGAACAGCAAACTTCTCCCTGGGGGAGACATAGGAAGGGGACGAGGGGCTCAGCCTAGCTCTCCACAGGGAGGCCAGATGGCCCTAGTTGACCACAGGCAGCAGGTGATGACCTTGCCAACTTACCCGAACTAGGGACTCTTCACAACCATGAAGGAGATGAGCGATGGCATGACTTAATTTTGCTCCAAAGTGTATTGGAGAGGAAAAAAAATAAACATGACGACAGTATACAGGCTGGTAAATTGCACTTCTGGGGTCTGGGCAAGAGGGACAGAAAACTCTACAGGGAAAGAAAAATACTCTACATAGGTCAAGACAGGAAGCCTTAGAAATATTTACAAAATGCATAAATGGCAATTTACTCCAGAAACAGACAAGGACCACAAATGAAAATGCTTTAGAGGTGACACGCGCATTCAAGGGGAAGTGGGACTGGGTCTGACCATTAGGCCACATGCAACATGCCCCTCACTGAGGTCCTAGCAGTGAGGAAAGCTCTACCGTGTAGTTTAAAACTAGACTTGTGATTGTGCTGGGCAAAAGGAGAAGGAATGTGGCAAGTCACAGGTGTGCTCACTAACGTAGACGGGGAGAAGGACTCGGGCCGGGGAAGGATTTCTGCGGTTAGACCTGTGTGGCGAAAGGGGGAGAGGTTTTGGGAGCAGAGCCTCTGTACACGAACCTAGTAGCCCAGTACCTCGGGGCACCCCAGACCAGCCAGCACAGCTGAGAACGCTGACGCTTCTTCCTTCCATCCTTGTCTGGCAAATGACCATCTTCCCTCCCCTCCAGGTGCGGTTCCTAGAGCAGCAGAACAAGGTCCTGGACACCAAGTGGACCCTGCTGCAGGAGCAGGGCACCAAGACCGTGAGGCAGAACCTGGACCCTCTGTTCGAGCAGTACATCAACAACCTCAGGAGGCAGCTGGACAGCATCGTTGGGGAGAGAGGCCGCCTGGACTCGGAGCTCCGGGGCATGCAGGACATGGTGGAGGACTTCAAGAACAAGTGAGTCAAAGAGCAGACACGCACTCAGCTGTCTGAAGCACACACGTGGGGTGGCCAGGTCCAGAGGTAGGCATGATTCCTAGCAAAACAGGACCATGCAAATGAGAGTCTCAAGTCATTGCCTAGGAGCAACTGTAAGAATAAAAGATGGCCATGGAGGAGGGGGAGATTAGAGAAGTGAAAATTTCAGTAGCAACACAAGTGGCCTTGTAGGCGCTCACGGCAGGAGAGATCCATGAGGATCCATTGCACGTGCGGACAGGGTCAGATCACGGGCAGCGTTTCTGATGGGCGCTACCCGCTGGCTCAGTGGCACCTCTTCCTTTCTTCCCGTAGGTACGAAGATGAAATCAACAAGCGCACAGCAGCAGAGAATGAGTTTGTGACTCTGAAGAAGGTGAGCAGGTTAAGCCAAGGCTTCAGGCTTCTTTGCTGAGGGGGAGAAGTGACTCTGGGTCTCTGCTCCAGTGTGACAGGAGAACTGGGAGGGACACTGAATTCTGGGTATCCCCGAAGGGGGCTCAGCTGACGGCAAGCTGTTGGCTCTTTCCCCAGGATGTGGACGGTGCCTACATGAATAAGGTTGAGCTACAAGCCAAGGTAGACAGCTTGGCAGATGAGATCCAATTCCTGAGAGTCTTGTATGACACAGTAAGCATCTCCACTGTCCTTTGATTTATTCTGAGGGGGTCTTCAAAGGGGGCCAGATATTGGTGTTGGCTACCTCTGTGAACGTCCCAGGCAAAGAGGATCTTATGATCGTGTGTTCTGCAGGAACTGTCTCAGATGCAAACCCACATCTCAGACACATCCGTGGTCCTGTCCATGGACAACAACCGTAGCCTGGACCTGGACAGCATCATCGCTGAAGTCAAAGCCCAATATGAGGAGATCGCTCAGAGGAGCCGGGCAGAGGCTGAGTCCTGGTACCAGAGCAAGGTGAGCAGGGCGTCGGCAGCTACGGAGAAATCCCTGTGTCCCACCCTGTCTACCTGAAGGCCAGGGACTTCACTGGGAAGATGGCACTAGAGTCCTCTTGCAGGATGTGTACACTGCACTGTTAGAGTGGATCATTACAGAAATTGTGCCCAAGTTTAGGAGGAAAAAGAACCCCAGGCGGGAGGAGAGCTGATGTTGGTTAACACCGATTAGCATTTGCTTTCAGCTTCTCTCTGGACGCTGACTCTCCGAAATACAATGCAGGGCACTGCCAGTCCCTAAGGGAGTGAGGGACTCAGGGTGCCATAAGAAGGATGGTCTGCGTTTAGTTTTACAATTCTTCTCAGTCTTGGAAAATCCACTTTTCCTAAAAATCCTTGAGGAGAAGCCATAAGGTTCATGTTTGACATGTGCCTGATGCAGAAGTGAAAGGCCTTGTCCACACGTGTAAAGCCATAGACACTCTCTCTCTCTCTCTCTCTGGCCTGCAGTATGAGGAGCTGCAGGTCACCGCGGGCAGACACGGGGACGACCTGCGTAACACCAAGCAGGAGATTGCTGAGATAAACCGCATGATCCAGAGGCTGAGATCTGAGATCGACCACGTCAAGAAGCAGGTAGGGTGAGGGGCAGTGTGAAGAAAAGCAGCACTTACTTCCTCGCTAGAC